AAAGTTTCAGGGGGCCGGGAGTTGGTGGCGCATGCCTTTAAATCCATCACTTGGGAGGCAGAGGCAGGTGGATCTCTGTGAGTTCGAGGCCAGCCTGGTCTACAGAGCGAGTTCCAGGACAGGCTCCAAAACAATACAGAGAAACCCTGTCTCAAAAAAACAAAAAAACAAAAACAAAAACAAAAAAAAAAAGTTTCAGGGGGGATTATAGGTAGGGGTGAACTCTACTAACTAAATAATTCCTACTTCCCGACAGAACTAGCTACCCATCTATGCAAAGCACAGCAGAAGAATAGTGATGGTCTCACCCACTGAGTCTTAATACTCTGCATAGCTTCTAAGTACTGTAAAGTGTTTCTACACTTGAGGATGTCAGAAGCTACTAGCAAGTCAATTCAAGCATGTAACCTGCTGGGCAAAAATTCCAAACGGATGAATAGGGTATAGCAAAGGATGTAAGCCATATTTTCAGGTGTGCGTCACTACTGACACGTAAGAAAGGTTCCCTGATGCAGGCCATAGGATCACCTTGAGATTTCGTGTCTCCAAATAACTTGCTTCTTTGGGTCTTAGTTTTCTTTTTTTTATCATTTTTTATTTTAATTTTAAATAGCTTGTTTTACATGTCAATCCCAGTTCCCTCTCCCTCACCTCCTCCCGCACTCCCCTTCCCCACCTCCCTCCCACCCTATTGTCAAATCCTTCCACATAGGGGATATCTAGAGTCTGTCATTTTACTCTTGGTAGGGTACAAGCACTCCCCTAAAAGACCAGGCTGAGAGAGCATCTCTCTTTGTGCTATAGGCACACGAAGACAGTTTGTATACCAGGGATAGACACTGATCCACAGCTCAAGGCCCCTTAGGTTGCTCAGGCCTTCTCACTGACACTCACATTTGGGGGGGTCCAGATCAGTCCCATGCTGGCCTCCCCACTGTCGGTCTGGGGTCCAAGAGCTCTCCCCTGTTCAGATCAGCTGTCTCTGCTGGTTTTGCCAGCCCATTCTTTGCCAATTTGCTCATCACTCCTCTCTCTCTGTCACTGGGTTCCTTGGGTTCAGTTCAGTGATTAATTGTGTGTTTGGGTCTTAGTTTTCTTAAGGGTGCCATTAAGTTCTTGAACCAAATTATCTGTAAATTATCTTGTAGCTCATGATACAAGCAGTTGTAAGGCAAATATCTTTACTATATTGAATTGGCTTCTTTAACAAGTCTTTAAAAGCAAAAGCAGCTTGTTTGTGGCTCTTCTTTTTAGAGCATTATTCTGCTTGCTCACCAACATCTCTGCTGATTACTTGTGCCCTCTAGTGATAGAGTCAGTTATACAACAGGACTGGGCTGGGAATAGACTGTCCCAGAAGATAGGAAAAAACAAGCAAACTTCAAGTCACCCAAAAGACAGGCCAAAACGAAGGTAAGGACAGATGGAAAGGATTCAAGTGTGCCCATGGTTGCTTGGTCCATAGCAGACACTCTAGACTGTCATTGCTACAACAGCCACCCAAACCTTTTCTGCAGTTTTGCTTTCCACGGGTATAGCTACTCACAGACTCCTCAAAAAGAGTAAATGGAAATTCCAAATTAGCCAATGAACATGTTTTTTAAAATATGTGTTGTTTTGAGTACTGTGATTAAAATCTCACAGCACCCTGATTTTTCCTGCTTGAAACATGAATCATCTCTTTGTTCAGAACCTGCCATATTCCCCCATTAGTCATTTAGGAGCCTTCATAGCCATCGGATCAACCTTTAAGACATCAAGATTGAAGTGTCTGTCTTCGAGTAGCCCTTATTTTACTAAGTAATGTCCTGAAAATATAAGATTAGTGAGTTGGTCATATTATTCGGTATACAGTTTTATTGTTGTTTACTATGAAGGACTTGTAGGTTAAAATTCATCATAGGTACGTAAGAGAAAACATAGTATAGGTACAATACAGTTCTATCTGTAATTTTAAGCAGCTCCTCATGTAGGCCCCCTCCCTTGGAAAATCCATCCCATGGACAAAGGAGGACTACTATACATTAAGCACACTTCTGAATATAAAGATATTTATATTAACATTTAAATTCATTTTTTTTACTTAGTAATACAAAAGATATCTAAAGATTTCTAGAGACTACCTGCTACATACCTACTGTGGATAATGAAACAGAATTCCTTTAAACATATGTGTCAAGGAGGTACTAAGATTTCAAATTACATATTCCTTGTCAGTTTCACTAGCTGGTAGATTTACCAGTGGGGTATGTTTTGACCATAACCATTTACTCTGCTTAGCTTAAGCAAGGCTCACAGACTTCTCACTGTGTTTCCTAGGGTCACAAGAACAACAACATGTGACTCATCTCTTCATCAACTATTCTGTACATGAGAAAACATCAGTGCTATCCTTGGCTTTGAGTCTCATCTGTAAATAAATCTTAGTTACATTTTTATAAGTACCTAAAAAAGGAAATGGATTTTAGTGATGTTAGCAGAGCTTGGGTTACACAGAAGGCCTTCTTAGCCATGCAGTTGTTACTGCCATGTAGCAAGACACTAAGGAATCTTTTAAAATACTTAAAAAGAGAGGATAGAGTCATATTGGGAATCGTTTTGTTCCAATCCCAAGTGGAGGAATATAGTAGGATTAGTAACCACTGACGCTTGCTTCTTAAAATTAAATATAGCTGGATGAGTCCATACAAAATTATGATGACAAATCAAAAAATGATTGCCTTTTGGGTCAAAGAATTAACTAGAAAGGAACAAAAGAGAACTTTATGAGGTGATTGGAAAAGTTCTACAACCTGCTGGGTGATAGATACTTGTCAAGATTCCCCCAGGAGTGCATTTTAGATTTATGCATTTTATTGATTATAAATTATATTTCAGTTGAAAAACAGATGCCATAATCTTTAAAAATAATAGGTATCACCACTTTAGGAAGAGAGAGGAGACAGGATGTGGTATAATCTCAATAGCAGATATAATTTCAATGAACCAATAACAGAGGAAAGAACTACACTGGCTTCTCACAGTATTCATACTGACTAGCTACAGTGACACTTCAACAGAATGACCCTCTTTTGACTGGCACATTGACTGCTACAGAACCAAGTCAACTTTACTGCTTAATGAATAGTCAGTATAGTATAGGAAAGAGAGAGACTGGTCCTAAAAATCATTAGGTACCACTGGCTGTCTTTAGGTAGGATTTATTCTGGGCCATCAATGACCAGATATTTTTCCTGCGGGCCCACATGGAGAATGTCTACTAGAATTAGCAAAGAGTGCAACAGGGAGGAAAACAAACAACAAGTAAAGGAAAAAGCAAGCGTAAGACTTTTAAACAGGCAGCCTTACCTAGGCTGACCCATCAGCAGACTTTCCTTGGCAGAACTCTGAGTGGTGTGGGGGATGCCACTTCCCAGCAAATGCTTGACCCAACCCTAAGCTGACCTACACACATGCAAAGTTACCCATCTGGAGGTATTAGGGTGCTTACAGCTTGTTTAGATTAACACTGGAGTCTGTCTGACATATGGTAAACACCAGTAGATGACACAAATAATTGGATAAATGGAATATTCTTTAGTCTGACAAATGACCTCTGTGTCCAACCTTATCAGTCCATGCTTTTCTACACAAAACCAGAAAGTCTTTTCCTTGGTTTTAATCCAACAGTCTTAAAATGAAATTCCCTAAGAAGCACTGTATCAAGACCATTTTAATTCTTAAATGTACCAAAGGCTAGGATTTTCCAGTGCCCGTTAGTTTAGAGAGATTTTTACTCACAAGACACCCTATGACAACAAAACCTTCCTTGTAATTCCTTGATCTAAATGTCCTGTATTAACCCTATAGGGATTATGGTCCTTTCCAGTGCTTTGCAATCCATAACTCAGATTCTCTGTTTAAGCATAGTTCCCCAAAGGAAATTTGCTGTCTCCAGAAGCCTTTCCAAATCCCTTAAAGCAGCAGTTCTAAACCTGTGGGTCATGAACCCTTTGGGTGTTGAATGACCCTTTCACAGGGGTTACCTAAGACCATTGAAAAACACAGATATTTACAATTTATAGCAGTAAGAAAATTATAGTTATGCATTAGCAACAAAAAATTTTGTGGTTGGGGGTCACCACAACAAGAGGAACTGTATTAAAGGGTCACAGCATTAGGAAGGTTGAGAACCACTGCCTTACAGAATCTAGAAAGTTGCTGGCATACATAAACAATCACACACACACACACACACACACACACACACACACACACACACACACTTCAAAACCAAAAAACTTGTGATCCTCCTGCCATAGACTCATAAGAGATTGCAAACATATACCACCATAGAGTTACTCTTTGGGATCTTAACTATTGAGATATAACAATGATAATTTATTACTTATGTCTCTACTGATAAAAATTAGCTAGTTGTTACTAAGAGGCTATGATTTTACATGCTTTGATAAGTAAAGCACACAGATATATATTAATTTGGCATAAACCAAATTCCCTCTTTCTTGCAAATAATACCTCAGTATTCAGAGGTATCAAAGTAGCTCAGGGAGGAATGTTGGGTGTAGGCCTTTCAGGGCAAGGAGGAATTGGATGCCAGGCTTCAAAGGGGCAAGTTACAAAAGAGGTGAGGTGCTTACTCTCACTTCAAAGACAAATATAAATAACTTTGAAATAGACTCAAATTTTTATATTCTCTATGTTTATGTTCTCTGTTAGGAAAGAACCACTGGGAGCTGGTCTCTTTTTTTTTCTTCCAAAGAGAAAAATATGGAGCCTATGTGGGCGTTGACGACGGGCAGCTAGCACAGCAGATACAGGAAAGATGCTCAGGAGAATGGCCAGCTACAGCACAGGAAAAAGTAGAACCAACAAGCACCTGCCACACTGCTCATCGTCACCCTCAACCCATTTCCCAAAGATCTGCTCATATCCAATAACTATATGCCAAGGAGCAACTCTAAGCCCTAAAGGGACTGGGTCATCAGTTTGTCACTTACCCATTTTTCTTTGACCTCTTCAGAGACATCTGTTTCATCCTCCTGAATGGAAAGAGGAGGAAAGACAAAGGGTTATACCCACAAACCTCTCTGAAAACAAGGTCAGTTCCTATCAATCACAACTCTTGGCATTTCAAATGTGGGCAATAAAAACTGAAAGCCAAGTGATGCCACTACTGCCACTTTCAATAGCTGTCACAAGCAGGGGACTTAGAAACATCACTGTAGTCAAAAATGTCAAACCAACCACAGTGGTAAAAAGGTAAAACATGACTTCATTTCACTCTGTCAAGTTGTCAGCCTATTGTCTGGGGATGCAGCTTATTGGTAGAGTGTTTGTTTGTCTAGTATGTGCAAGTTCTATCCCCAAAACTGGAAAAAACAAAACACTATCAATTTAGTCCTAAGACAGGGCAATGCATCTTTGCTAAAAGACAGTTGTAATGAGTGACTACTACGGTTACATTTCTTGTCTTGCTGAATAGTTTTATCTAACTTTCAAATGGGTCATTAGGAACCAGGGGTCTCTGGTTTAGAGTATGGCCACTTTGTTTAAAAAAATGCTAGTACCAGGCTTGAATGAGAAGGTTAGAAGCAGCTATGCATGGAGTGCATTGAAGTACTGTGTGTATCTGTGCTTAGTAAGCACTGGTGACCTGTTTGCTACTCTTTGATCCTTTTCCCTCCAGAAAGGTAAAATGGAGTCAGATTAAACCTGCGTCAATTTACAGGTTTTAAGCCCTTTGAAATACTTTTAAAATGGAAAACATTTACTTATTTATTTACATTACATTTACAAAACATTTACATTAAATGTTTTGCCAAAATGCAAGTATGTGTACCATATGTGTGACTATTATATCCCTGGAACCAGGGTTAGGGATGGCTGTGAGCTAGTATGTGGGTACTGAGAATTGGACCTGGTTCTTCTGAAAGAACAAATATTCTTAGCCCCTGAGCCATCTCTCCAGACCCTTCCTTCAAAATTCTTATCATCCTAAAAACAGCTCAACCATGGCTTATAGGTAGTATTAAGATAGTTATCCACTTGCTTACATGATAGCTGTAAATCTCCAGCTTTCAAAATTCTTTATCAGGCAGAATGTTTACTTTGTGTTCAGTACTGCTCTATGCACTTAGCAGAAACATACCAAATGAGTGCCACACTAGTGGAGTCTTCTCTTTCTTAGTAAAAGTTCTTTGCTATCTCTATGAGAGCCATGGCACTAAATGGGGCTCTTTCTTTTGACCTCAATGAAGAGGCTGAAAGCCATAGGCGCTATCGCGTGCCCTGTATAGAACAATAAACTTACATCATTTGTCCAGAAGTTAATGCCCGTGCCTCTTCGCCGGTCCTTAGGTCGCCTCCTCTCCCGGATAGACAGCCTGCTAGAGGACTGATCATCCAAATCATCTCCTTCTTTTTCTGCTCAAAGATAACACAGAATGTGGATCTTAAAAATTTGGGTCATGCACACTGGGTAGTGGCTTCTGAAACTATACATACCATTCTTGTCCATTTCCTTTGCAGCTGTGGCGTTAATAGTGGTCTCTGAATTCTGAGAATCAGGGACTGAAGCTCTACTTGTCCGTAGTAGATGAGAACTAGTGTAGAGTAAAGGTCTTGATGCAGAAGGAGACTCCGGTGTTGTGGGCTTGTCTGGTTGAGCTAGACACCTTAGGCGACGATAGACAGGCTGGAAATAGTCCACAGGATGAGATTTTAGTGGTCAAGTTCAACCAAAGGATAAAGACAGCAGGCTTCCTCAGAATGGGCCTTTCCAATATGAAGGAGACTTAGTAACAGTGATGTTCAATAGGCATCTATCAGCTGAATTAGAGTTAGTAAGTGGTCAGGAATCAAAAGCTTCTGGAATTCTATTCGAAGGATACCAGGATGACCACAGTAGTTGAGACAAACTGTACCTAAAGTGACCAAAGGGCACTAAATAATTCAGATTAATAATAAAAAGTCTTTTGACCTTGAAAATGGGAAAAGAAATGCTGATTTTAAGACAGCGTACATGGGAAGTAAAAAAGCTCAGAAGTGAGAGGAAACAAGAGTGCTGCAATGACCTGAGGACAGAGAGCAAATATGACCACTCCAGCACTGTCAGGACACTCCACCAAGTGCCACATGACTCACTGAGCAGCTCACTTCATGTCCTGGGCATCACGGCCTGGCACAAACGAGGCAAGGCTGTACCACCAACTACCTTCCTGCTTTCCTGAAGCTTTTGCAAATTTCTATTTTCCCCTTTGAATGTTTTTCCTGAGAGTTAAAACACAGAACAATTAGCCTTAGCTTAATTAACTGAAAATTCTTCAAGATAAAAATTCTAACTATAAATTAAGTTCACAATGTAGAGGTCACATACTTTTAATTTATAAGTCACAAAGTCAGAAACAAGCAAGTTTGAGGGTCAGATAGAACTTGTCTTTGAGTCTACTTCTGCAGGTAGTAACTATGTGACCTTGAATAAGCTAACTTCACTGAGCCTCAGACAGGATGCTGAGGGTTTAGACAATGTGTTAGGAACCTGAACACTATCTGGAAACCAGTACTCAGTATTAGACAGGGTTTCTCTGTGTAGCTTTGGCTGTCCTAGAACACTATATACAACGCCTTCCTCGAACTCACAAAGATCCATCTGTCTCTGCATCCTGAGTACTGGTATTAAAGGTAGGTGCCACCACCATCCAGCTAGCTAGGAAGTAATAAGAAAACAAACAAAAAGCACAGCACTATCTGTTTTTGGAACTTAGCACTCTGAGTACCAATAAGTGAGAGAGTCCCTGCTCTCATCACCACAGTAATCATATTTATCAGGACACTTTTGAGAGAGAAGGAATGGTAATGATAATTATAGAGACAACAGCTACAACTGAAATCACGGGTATGTTTGCCCTAAGTATACCCTTGGCCCTCTTTGTGAATACCACATCCAATAGAGACGCATGCACACACAGACGGTGACACCCAAGAGTGCTTCGAAGGAGTTTGGGAAACAACTGATTATTAGTGTTGAACAAGCTGGAAGGGCAGACAGCCTACATTCAAATCCTCACTGGCCTACTCCTCCATGTGTAGAGTATAAGGTAAGTTACTTGACCTGTGAGACTCAACTTCTTCATCCATAAAATAGGCAAAATAATATCCATTGCAGAGGGGTATCCTGAGGATTAAATCAATTAATATATCTGAAATGCTTAAAACAGTGTCTGCCATAAAAACAAATCTTATTTGCATCATATTATATCATGTCCCCTCTTTATAGAATAGTAAGACATTCACTCAAAAGCATTAGTTAACTATCAGAGCAGAAAACCGATCACTTAAAAAACCGAAATCCTGGCAAGCTAAGCAATAGTGGAAAGACCACCTCGAATGCCCATTCCTGATAATGAACTTGATGTCTATAACCATCCGGGAGCCTTCATCCAGTGACTGGTGGAAGCAGAGACAAACACACAATTAATCACTGAACTGAACCCAAGGAACCCAGTGACAGAGAGAGGAGTGATGAGCAAATTGGCAAAGAATGGGCTGGCAAAACCAGCAGAGACAGCTGATCTGAACAGGGGAGAGCTCTTGGACCCCAGACCGACAGCGGGGAGGCCAGCATGGGACTGATCTGGACCCCCCAAATGTGAGTGTCAGCGAGAAGGCCTGGGCAACCTAAGGGGCCCTGAGCTGTGGATCAGTGTCTATCCCTGGAATACAAACAGACATCGTGTGCCCATAGCACAAAGAGGGATGCTCTCTCAGCCTGGTCTCTTAGGAGAGTGCATGGACCCTACCCAGAGTGAAATGACAGACTCTAGATATCCCCTATGTGGAAGGAATTGGCAATAGGGTGGGAGGGAGGTGGGGAAGGGGAGTGCGGGAGGAGGTGAGGGAGAGGGAACTGGGATTGACATGTAAAACAAGCTATTTAAAATTAAAAGAAAAAAAAACCAAAATCCTTCTGATTTGTCCACACCAAAGGCAGCTATAAACACACAGTGTCTTTTAGGAATGGTTCACTGAAGCAAGACAGACCTGAATTTAAACCACCACTTATGAAGGTTCACCAAACAATCCTGCTTGTGGTGCAGAGCATGCCAGCGAAAAGAGCCCACCTCTTCCTCCAGACTCCTGCCCCAAGGTTGCTGATCCTCCCCAGCTTCCTTCGTTGGGGCAGCTGATGGCTCCTGCTTCTTAGTGCTCCCTTCAAGCCCACCAGGGTCTTCAAGCTTCTCACCAGGCTGCTCCTGAGCTTGTCTCTCTGCCCTTGACCTGCTGAAAGTCTTCTCTGCTTCTTGAAGGTCTGTCAGGGTAACACCCTGGGAAAATATCAAATGGTAAAGACAGTTTCACACTAACATACAGTATTCTTGAGCGGGGAAACTGCCCCCCAAACAACCAAATGAAGCTCCCAAGATGCAACAGAAGGCCAATTCTAGAACACATGCTTAAAATAAGCACCACAGTGTACAGAGAACTCAGACCTAAATCTACACACACTCTGAACTAATACTTTAGCTTTCCCAACTTGCTCTTCCAAAAATAGGTCAACAGTGGTATCTGCTCTTACAGATGTATTTGGTTCATAGAAATTGTGCTCGATTATTTGAGTGCACGTTATTCTCTCCCAAGATCAAATGGTTACCTTCTTATTCCCTGAACAGTAAATACTGGAAAAAAACAAACTTTTAAAACCTGGTTAAAAAAGGTAAAAAATTCATACTAAGGCTAAAACAACAAAACTTCCTGAAACACTATATTGACTATTCTCTAACATCATTTCTTAAGTAACTCTAGGAATCACAGAGATCCCCAAGAATCACTGGAGCAGCAGACCAGAAGCAAAGCAAGTCAGAAACCTGGAACAGGACAGAGCTGAGAAGAGAAGAGTGGTTATACTCTCAGAGCCTCACAAGAGGCATGTCCTGAAGCTAAAAGGCAGCCATTGAGTACTAAATCCACAACATCCTTTTATTTTATAAAATTATGTGTATACATGTCATTGTGCATGTACACAAGTATACTTTTTGTGGAGGCCAGAAGATGGTGTCTGATTCCTTGAAGCTGGAGTTATATGTGGTTGTGAGTCATCTGACAAGGTGGGGTGAGAAAGCACCCTTCACTGCAGGATTCTCTCTCCAGCCTCAAAAACTTTTTAACTATTCATAATTTGACTCATTCTTTTTAAATTACTGATGTCTTTAAGCAATCAAACTACAGAGGCAAGTCAAGTAATTCCTTTCAAGAAACTTCCTTCAAAGATTTATTTAATTTAAAGTTATAAGTCTGCTATGTGCACCATGTGAATACAAAAGCCTGCAGAGACCAGGCATTGGGTCCCCTGGAACTGAATTACAGGTAGTTGTGAGCCACCTAGGAACTGAACCCAGGTCCTCTCCAAGAGTGGTAAGTGTTCTTAACTGCTGAGCTACTAACCCTGCAACCTTTTCAAGAAACTTTTAATATGGCAGAAATTACATGAAAAAATACATGATGATCATAAGATATTATGCACATATTAGAAAAACTGGGACATGGGGAGATAGCCCAGTGGATAAGAATGAGAGGACCAGAGTCTGGATCTCCAAAACCCATGTAACACACTTACGGAGAAAAGGAAAGGAGAGTCTGGAGATTCCCCAGAAGCTTGCTAAGCTAGTTTGCCTGGTATGTTCAGTGGTAAACAAGAGACCTCAAACAAGAAAGTGGTGACTAACATGAAGCTGTGCCCTGACCTCAAAAAGCACAGCTCTGGAAGGGTGTAGGGGGGTAAAAGGCGTTATAGCTAAAGGGAGCTTGTCCAAAGACTCAGAAACAGGAGAGCTTGGGATGATGCGGTGTCTGCCAGAGTTTAGCAAAGGTGAGGGAGTGGGAGCACAATGAGGCCAATGAGAGTGAGGGAAGCAGCCAGAGGCTGGATCATTTGCCACATTAAGGAACTGGACATGTACTTTCGGTTTAATATTTCTTTGGGGACCCAATGTCCCTTTGAGAATCTAACAAAATATTTTTAAAAGTCAGGTACACGTTTTGATGAGACTGAAGATCCTTCCTAGTTCTGATGAGGACCTTGGCTCTTTCTACAGAGTCTTTTCATACAAGATTTCTTTTTTTAGAAACAGGGTCTTTATGTAGCCCAGGCTGACCTCTAAATCACTATGTAGCTGAGGCCAGCCTTGAGTTCCTGCTTTTACTACCTCTACCTTCCAAGTGCTGGGATTGCAGGCGTTTGCATTATAAGATACTTACACATCTTTGGCTCTTCCTCTTTTAATTATGCGTCTTTCTCTGTCTACTCTTTTCTGTCTCTTCATAAATAAAGTCATTTAGGAGGAGTCTATATTCCCCCACCATTAATGCTCACTCACTAATATATTCCATTATATACTTATATGCGTACATATTATGATTATCTACTGTACACTGAGAGAAAAGATGAGAGTAAAAATATAATCAGTGGGCTATTGAAATGGTCCAGTGGGTAAAGGTATGCCACCAAGCCAGAGGACCTGAGTTTGACATGTGGCACCCACATGACAGAGACTGACTCTGACTAGTTATCCTTTGAACTTCACCTGTGTGCCATTCCACATTTTTAAAAAATGTAAAACAAAATATAGTCAGTCCTCTACTTTCACACTCACTAGAGTGGCTAGTATATTAAAAAATTCCCAAACTATAAAACAAATATATTGAAAGGACTAGAGAAATGAGGAGACTTGTGGTTGCTGACAGGAGTGGGAAGCAGGGCAGCTATCATAAGAATATACAACAGTATTAAAAATAGGATTATCATACAAGCCAGCATATATTTACACTCAGATGCCTCAAAGGACTGAAAGCAGGGTCTGAGAGACATGTGGACAGCCATTTGCACAGTGATATTATTATGGGAGTCATGTGTCTACTAAACGGTGGGTAATAAACAAATTGTGGCATATACATATAGCCTTAAAAATAAAATAATGCCATGTGGACAACATTAATGAGCCACAGCATTATGTTACAAGAAATGAGTCAAACGAGTGAGATACATGGCATATGATTTCATTTATATGAGATTCACAAAGTCAAATTCACAGAGCTACAAAACAGAATATTGCTTGCTTGCAGAGTGATTGCTTAATGAATACAGAGTTTCAGTTCGGAAAGATGAAGAATGTTCTGGAGACGGATAGTGCTGATAGGACTTAAGAATGCTGAACTATAAACTTATAAAAATGGAAAATGGTAAGTCTTCTAATGTATATTGATAAAATAGTATGGGCTTCAGGGAAGATGGATTCTACGGGAAGAACAGATACACACTCATCAAGCTAAAGTGAAGGCAGAACACCTGACCCGCTCTGGGAGGGGTGGGAGAGACAGAAGCAATCTTTCTGCTGCTATGTATAATGTTCCTAGTCATCGACTTTCCTTCTTGAGTTCTGCACTATTTAAATAAAATTGTTGAATGCCTCCTTTCTGTTACACACCGATTTCTGGTTCACTTCAAATGCCAATGCTGCTTTCTGGTTTTCTTTTCATTTCTTTGGATGCTCCTTTTCATCTGCCTCACGGGCTTCCTTGGCCTCCTTCACACTTACAACCCGAGGTCATGCCCTCGATATTTCAGGTGGGACTACTGTGAACAGCTTCCTAACTAAATCTGGTTTCCTGGCTTGGCAAACATCCTTTACCTACCACTCTCATCTCTGCAAAACAGTGTGAGCTAAATCAGATTCTCCCTTAAACTGCTTTCATGACTCCCATAAAAGACCTTTTTTGTAACTAAAATATAACTCATATATCATAAATTCTGCTTTTTTAATATACGCAATCTTATGGTTTCTAGAATACTCCGAGCTTTTCGACTATCACTGTTATCTACTTTCAGGACATTTCATCACCCCCCAAAAGAAACCACACCCACTAACGATTCTCTTCCTATTCTTCTTCCCTGCTGACCCAAACTTTAATCAATTCTCTCTCTGGATGTGCCATTCTGGATACACTACACAATGGACTCATACAAGAAATAGGCTTATTGTACCTGGATTGCTTCACTTGGAATGTTTTCTCCAAGTTCATCCATGCTGTAATTTTAACTATTTTCATTTTTTATTTATGTGTATGTCTGTGTGTGAGTTTGTGCATGTGTATGCAGGTACCCAGGGGTGGCCAGGCAAAGCTGCTGAATCCCCCTGGAGCTGGGGGTACAGGCAGCGGTGAGCCACCTGCTGTGAGTGCTGGGGACTGAACTCTGAATCTTTGCAAGAGTAGCAAATGCTAACTGATGAAGCATCTTTCTAGCCTCTGTAACGTTACTTTTTAATTCCAAATACTATTTCACTGTATAAACAATACATATTTAGTTCATTCATTGGTTAATGAACATATACTTTTATAACAGGTTAGTCCTGCTTATTATGGAGTACATTACTGGGTTGGGTCTACTTCTTGGTTATTTTGAATAATTCTACTGTATGATTCTCTATACAAGTTTTTTTGTGAAAATATGTTTTCGTATATTTAACAGTGGTAGACTGTGTACAAATGGAAACTCTTTGTTTAACATTTTTCAAACTACTGTCTGTTTCCTTTGAGGGCTACAAGGCTTCTTAAAGTTATTAAGCAAAGCTGGAATGATTAGTCTTGAGCCTGAGGGAACAGAGGTGAGACTGGGTAGAAACTGCTGTACATTTGATTCTATACTGTATAGCCTTAACATGGTGACAACTATAACGAAGGAGGTGGAATAAAAGCATCCGTTTTAATATTTTCAACACATATGTCCACTGGAAAGGCCGACAGACGAGAACACTGGGGTGTGGGGGAGTCATGCTTACTTGAGTAGACCTTCGTGTCTGCCGAGCTTGTCTGGAGCGAGCTTTCCGTAAAGACTCTGCCTCCTCATCCCGTACAGGAGTCAGATAAGATCTATGGGAGAGAGGGAACAGCAGGTAACACCTCTGCTGCATGCGCTGCAGGAACAAAAAGGCACCCCACACACTGAAGGGATTCCCACATGCTGAAAATAAATGTTAAGGGTCAAATGGCAAGAATGCTATATGCCCCCAGTAAATGCTGTTATAGCATTCAAAATATTTATGTCACCACTCACACAGAAGTGTACATCTGTAAAAAGAGAATTTAATTTTATTTCTTTTTATCTTGTCCTTTCACTTTTTTCTTTTCCTGGTTTACTGTTCTGACCAAGTATTGTAGGCCATGCTAAAGAGAGGTGGTGATAGTAAGTATCCATTCTCTGTCCCTGTTCTCAGTACCTTACCACTAAAAGGGATGTTGGCTGTAAAATTTCTCTAGACACCACTCATTAAAATAAACTAAAACTTCCTATTCTCATGGAAAGCAGGCTAAGGTTTTGCACGCACTGATGCACATGTCCACATGTTCACATGGAGATTAAAGCCAAGTGTCTTTATCGCTCTGTGTGTGTGTGCACGGGTGAACACTAATGTGCATAAATGCAGGAGTGTACATCTCACTGTGTACACATACAACAGCATGTGCAGGGAGGTTAGAGGACAACTTTGAACATCATTCCTTACCTTTACCTTATTTGAGACAGGGTGCCTTACCACTGCATATGACAGGCTATTGGTCCAGAAGCTTCTCCTGTCTCCACTTCCTATCTCCCCATAGGACCACTTGGAATACAGATGAGCTGCTATACATCCAGCTTTTATGTGGGTTCTGGGGGTTTGAGTGCAGGTGCTCACACTTGTGTGCCAAACACTTCTGCTTACTGAGTCATCTCCCTAGCCCATCTGTATTATTTTTTGAAACACAGACTGACTAAAACTGGAGCACACTGATTTGGCTAGACTGGCTGGCCAGTAAGATTCCAGCAAAACTCCTCTCCCTGCATCCCCAGTGACAAGATTACAGCTGTGTGCTAGTGCAGCTTTTTATGTGAGTGCTAGGGATCTTAACTCAGGTCCTCATGCTTGTACAGCAAAATCATATTGATTTTTTATTTAAAACTCTGTAAGTTTCAAACAAAATTATCCAACTTTGGTGTTTATCTTTTGCTTTTGTGCCTATATGTGCAAGCTAGTCAAGTATTCTATCACTGAGCCACACATAAAGCTCAAGATATAAATATGTGGATATCTTTGTACTCCAGATGTGTGTGGAAGCCAGAAGCCAGTGTCAAGTGGCTTCCTTCATCACTCTGCACTTCACTTTGTTTGAGACAGAGTTCTGCACTGAATCTGGAGCTCACGAGTTCAGCTAGACTAGGTGGCTCGCAAGCCCCAGAGAGCTACCCATCTCTACTTCCCAGTGCTGGACTACAGTCATACTGCTATAGTCAGTATTTATACTAGGGAGCCAAACTCAGGACCTATGCTTATACAGTAAACATTTTCCCAGCTCAGCCATGCCTCTCAGCCCCAAAATGTATTACTACTATTTACTTTAAGGTTTCTACACTCAGCAGGGCACTGGGGATGCATACTTTTAATCCCACCACTTGGGAGGCAGAGGCAGATGGATCTCTGTGAATTCAAGACCAGCCTGGTCTACAGAGTGAGTTCCAGGGCAGCCAGGGCTGTTACACAGAGAAAGCCTGTCTTAAAAAAAAAAAAAGAAAAGAAGGAAAGAAAGAAAGAAGGGAAGGAGGAATGGAGGGAGGGAGGGAGGGAAGGAGGGAGAGAGAAGAGAAGAGATATCTATACTCATAGTCATAAAAGTAATAAATGTGGCCTTTGATTTTCTCTTCTCATGATATAGTGGACAGCTTTATGAGTTAAGGTTATGTGTGTTGGAAGTGTTCTTTCCTGGTTTATTTTCTATAATGATGTATGTATGATTCGGGTTATAAAATTTAAAAAAATTCACCAATAAAAGTTATCTGAGTTAGTGTTCTTTGGAGGAAGCTTTTAAATAAAATATTCAAATTCTGTAATAGGTTGGCTTATTTACATTTTCTATTTTGAAAACAAATATTCTGTTTTGCAGGGACTTTTTTTATTTGGTGGTAGACAACTTTTCATAAAACCCTTATAATAAAGTCTAATTTTTATAGCACTTATTTCATTTTTCTCTTTCTTTTTGCTTTTTTGAAACAGGGTTTCTCTGTGTAGCCCTGGCTGTTCTGGAACTCACTCTGTAGACCAGGTGGCTTTGAACTCAGAGATGCACCCGTCTCTGCGTCCCCAGTGATGGAATTAAAGACGTGCACCACCACCGCCTGGCTTAGTAGTTATTTTCAGCAGACCAATGCCTAAAGGACTTCAAAATTTGATCTAGCTCTAAAATTCTGGGTAGAGAAGATAAAATCATCTCCACCTTGCAGATGAGTCAATTGAGGCCCAAGAGAGCATTAAAATAGTCAAGATCACAAGGTCACTCACCAACAGACATTGTCACGACACTCTCCTGAACCCAGACTTTCCTTGCTTTATTCAACAATGAAAAATATTCATTTCTTTCCCAAAGCATGATGACATTCCAGCTACATGGCTTAGTGGAGCAAGATGTATCTTCCTTGAATTCTACAAGCACCAAGAGTGAGTAGAGGGAGGTGTCTTGCCCTGGCCTTCCTCTGGTATCCTCTGATATCTCCCTAAAGCTTGCCATACTGAAGAGTCTGGCTTTTATGTTTACAGATGTGCCATCAATATGTTATAGGGCGGCTGTGAACAAACCATAAAAATGAAATAATATGAGGGACTAGATTCTCCTTTGGAGGATGCAATTGGCTCTGCAATCTCAGGTGCTACCTGATGCAGAGTGGAAAGGGAGGTCAACACTGTGGAACACGAGTTTTTTTCTTCAACCTCTTAGGACCTTAGTTTTTTCAGTCACAAAATAAAGTACTAGGCAAATGTTTCTCAAGATTTCAGTCATCTGTAGCCATAGTGAATTCATATTTATGCTGAATGTGAACAAAAGGCCTTTATACTTTCTTCCTGAAAGCTTATTCATTGGTCTGGCCAAATACAGTCATCTCTAAATATTCCAAGGGGATTGGTCCCAGCACCCCTCCCCATGCCCCAAATCATGAGTGCTCAAGTCTCTTATAGCATTTGCAGATACCGTATACATCTTCTTTGTATATATATATATATATATATATATATATATATATATATATATATATACATTAAAACATCTCTAGCTTCTTTCCACTGCCCAACACAATGTAAATGTTGTGAAACTGGTAGTTATACAATACTAGCTAAGGAATGGCAAAAGAAAATTGTTCATATTAAGCACAGGTGTATTTTTTCCTCCTTAATACTTTCAAACCAGAGTTGGTTGAATCCACAGATTCAGAATTTGTGATACAGAACATTAATTGTACTAAGTTTCCCATATTCTATGGGTCACTTTCTTTAGTTTCTTCAATGGGACTTTGTATAACAATGGAAATGTCCAATAACCAGTCTAATATAGAAGCCAGTAGCATTTTAAATGTATCTAGTGCACAGAGGACATTACTTTTAATTTTATTTGCCATTACATTTAAATAGCCATACAGGAATACTGACTATGACACTCGGAAGCACAGCTCTGGAGTCCTGAGAATATAATGAAAATGCATATTCTCAGCTCTCTCCTTAAAAGTGTATAACACACACTTAACAGAATTCATGAAGATAGAGTATTTGATGATATTTTCTTCTCCCAAGTTCTCGTTTTTCTTCTGTGCTTTCCATAGGCAGTATTACTATAACCTTACGCTTTTATATACAGTAATTTTCAGTTTTACGAGCTAGTGCCGGGGCTCCCACCTTCAGGATATTTATGGGTATAGCAAACAGGAAGATGTTCGCAGACCAGAGCACCTCAGAGGCACTTTTTTTCTAATTTCAGTATTTATACTCTGCTGTCTCCACATGCCTTTAGCCATACCACCCTGCATTCCCTTTGCCCCCCTTGACACACAGAACTCCAAGAAAAACAGACTGTTACCTCCTTGTGCAGGCCTGCATAGCAGAACGAAGGTCAAGACATACATGGAGATGAACAGCAAGAAAGGTAAGTGGCTGCTGGGAAACACTGCAGCCTCAGCATCCGTCTCCCTTGGAAACTAGAGAAAGCTTGCAGTGTGCCACTGCTACCCAGCAAGCCAGAGGCAGAGCTTGTAATTTGCTAAGAAGCTGCTACTAAGAAGGAGAAAAGGAAGGGAGGAGGAGGGTAAAATCTGGGGGCTCAGCAACCCAATGGGGCTAATAGTTCCCAAAATACCATTCCATTATACGCATATTTTATATACCGTACCAAACCGATCAATACTCCTTGTCATCTGACAGAGGGAGAGGGAGAGGAATTTTTCTTTATTTGAAAGAGGACAGAGCAGAGAGGTGCAGCATTCCCACTCTAGATGCTCTCTCATCTGCCCTTGGGCTATCCTTGCTGCGGCATCCACCCGAGTGAGCTGTGAATACTACCTCACTGGAGGCTTGGCTCCAGCCAGCTGGCACATACTGAGAGAGGAAAAGAGACAGATAAAAAAGAACACAAGACAGGAACGAAAAGACAAATTTCAGCCCTGGATAGCAGAAGACTGTAAGCACTTCCCAGGCTGAGAAACTACCTAAGGATCAGGAAGATTTCCACATCTAAGTATGGTTTCTACCGTTGTGATAAACACTGACCAAAAGCAGCTTCAGGGAGGAAAGGGTTTTTTAGCTTACAGGTTACAGTCTACCATCTAGGGAAGCAGGTGGGGAACTCAAGGCAGGGACCTGGAAGCAGGAAATACAGCAGAGGCTGCAGAGGAATGGTGCTTACCTGCTCCCAGGCCGTCATTCATCTACCTGCCCTGGGGTGGCACTGTCTTCAGGGGGACAGGCCCTCAGCAATCACTTAGCAATCAGGAAAAAGCCCCACAGACATGTCTACAGGCCTAGCTGGTAGGAGCAATTCCTCAGCTGAGGTTCCCTTTTCCCAGGTATGTCCAGGTT